AGAACTAAGATCACACAGGGTTAATAATGATGGTCAGACTTGTATTGCAGACTCCTGTTTCGCTATAGTCTCTTGGGACAGAAGGAACTAAACTGTGGTCAAAAGCAATCCATCTTGATCCTGGCAATAAACTATTTTCACTGTATCAAGTAGTTTTTTCAAGTAGCATAAGTAAGTTTTGAAATCATGGCTTTATATCTTTGCCTAATTCCACTCTAGGTTGTGTATAAATCTATAACAAGAATCAATAACAACAAAGTCTTGAAAGATCTTTTCCTTCAAGTAAGAACACATTTCCCTCACATGAATGTTCAGACGTGGTAAGCAGCTATGATTGGTACTTAGCTAATCCAAAAAGCATGCCAGGTCTACAGAGAACATTTGCCTTTTGAATTTCACTATCATGGATGCTTTATGTGTATTCTGGGGGATCATTGATCCATGGGTCTTAAAATTAGCAAATCTCTTTATTTGAAATATGATTGCAAAAATAATGGTTGGTCATTGTCCCCTGAGTAAACCTATAAAATGGGGTATTAAAATCAGCAGATTTGTTGATTTCATGATTGTAGAAATAAAGTTTGGCCTAAATCTCCAGGCCAGGAAATTAAAAACACACACACACAACTTTTAAATGACATCATCATCTCATAATATTATCTTTTCACATTTGTTTCAGAAAAATAAATCAAACTTTATAAAATCACATTTTAAAAATAAAAAAATTCTCAAGCCACAGAAAAATGGACTTGCCAATAATTCTCTAGCACAAATTGGATCATAAGGGGTCTAGCTCACACATGGGCTATGAATGACTATGATTTAAACATTTGGAATCTCTCCGCTGACAAGTTCCGAGAAATCCATTCCCCCTTTTATGAATTGCTGAGTAACAGTGAAAACTCGGGGGCCACTTGCATAGCAGGTGGACCTATAATAGTCTGGAAAGCAGTCAACAGGGCAAAGATCAAGGCAGTTGGTAGGTGCCAACTCTTATGCTCCATTTCTAGCTTGCCGCCTTTCTGCTTTTTCACGCAGGCTCAAGTCATGTGGGGAATGCATCTTTTCAGTAGGTCCAAAGTGTAATGGGCCACTGAGTCTCAGTTTCCAGCTGAAATGGGCATTTCTTTTTTTTTTTTAAATATATTTTATTGATTTTTTACAGAGAGGAAGGGAGAGAGATAGAGAGTTAGAAACATCGATGAGAGAGAAACATCGATCAGCTGCCTCCTGCACACCCCGCACTGGGGATGTGCCCGCAACCCAGGTACATGCCCTTGACCGGAACCAAACCTGGGACCTTTCAGTCCGCAGGCCGATGCTCTATCCACTGAGCCAAACCAGTTTCAGCAAATGGGCATTTCATGTAAACGCTGTGTCTTAGATTTCCTGGTCTCTGATAGAATCTAAGATCAACACCTTCTGTTGAGTTAGGAGAATGTTGGTTTCTATCCCCTGGGCTCCAGCTGCCTGGGGGCCTTAGGGTCAGCTGGAAGGAGAGTTAGGTGGACAGGCCTTAAGGTTAACATGCCTGGTGTGCAGGTTCCATGGGCTACCTCAGAGCAAGGAGCAACATCAGCCAGGCCTCAGTAAGGCTGGGAGAGGGAAAGTGAAGAGCTCCCCCGAGTGCCCTCTGGGTGTTCAGAGAAAAGAGTGTGGAGCTGTGTTTTTCTAAGTAACTGGGCAGCCATTGCTCAGCCCAAAGAACACATTCTACCAGGTATAAAAAGACTCCGGGGACTGCTGAGAGTTGCCCATTTGGACGGCAGAGGCAGGGAATATAAGCCAGAGAATGGCTACAGGTTGGTTCTAAAGTTCATTATCCAAAAGTCTGGATCCTTACGAAGCCGAGAAGTAACTTTCTTAAAGATAATTTTGAATATTCAGGGATAAGGTAATGTGATTATATTTCTTCTAATAGAAACATTCAAGCACCTTATCCTCTATTCAATAACAAGCTCCTCGGAGCAAAACTGGTGTCATAGTCTTCGCTTCGCATGCCTTCCAGTGTCCAGAGTCGGGACCTCCATGAGTGTTTATGTTTTATCACTGTGCTTTTATATTTCTTCCCGGTTAGAAGGAGGGCATCCCCGGAAGTGAGAGCCCTCGCCTTAGAACATATTATGTCTGCTTTGGGTTCATTTGTGCTATTTATTTTTTTGCTGAAGAAAGAAAAAAAGTCCCCATGATAAGCAAGAGATTGTAGTAACTGCCAATTAATTATTGACCCAGAGAGCCTTAGTCAAGTCTAAGCACTCTCAGAGAAGACAACCCCACTGGTCCTTGTAAAGGGGCTCAAGCAGTTCAGGAAGGGAGCTGTGTGTCTGCACGAAGCCTCAGCGGTGGGGAGAACCCACCTTTACTGCTTCCCCTTGTGGACCTGCACCCGCAGAGGCAGCCTGCAGCTCCCACAGCTTCCTGCAGCAAAGCAGCACAAACACAGCCAAATGCTGGCAATGAAGAAAGATCACACAAATGATGCTTCTCTTTGTTTTGGAGCATCGTTGATGCTGGAACAAATTCTGACCTGAAGAAAAAAAAAGGGCTTTAGAGAAGAACCATTTACTAAAAAGATATACAGTGTCCCTGAAAGCCCAAGACCATAGTCAACTGATACTGTGGAAAAGAACATTTCTTCAGATTTGAGAGCACTTCTAGAGATTACATCAGGGGTAAAAATGCAATGGATCTAACTTTACGCAACAATAGGAGAATACCATTTAA